AGGCCCGCAGGGCTTTTCAACGCTTCAGTTGTCTGCTGGAGCTTCAGCTGAGAAAAAGCAATTTGGTGAACTTACACAACACCCAAAAAAGATGTTATGAAAGAGCTGATCACGGACGTGAAAAACTGACTGTAAACAAGCAAGCACTGGCTTTTCTCTGTTTGTGAGTACTCACCACCAGCCCATAGAACACGATGTGACCAAACGTGTTAGTAGAACCTTTAATGTGAAAAAAAAAACCATGAGCTGAAAGGGCGCCCGCCCTTTTGTTCAACTTAGAAGATCTCTGTGGAAAAAGTAACCCTTCACGTTACTGAAGGGTTTTAATTTCAGGAAGAACGGAGCATTATTTCAGTGACATGCAAGGGTGCTGATGCTTTAGCCACATCTGCATACAAGAAAAACTGCAACGGTGTTAGTGTGTGCTTTTCTGAGCGTGTCTTCTCCGAGCTATAATCAAGGCCTCCTTTTGTGGCTCTGGCATCAGTCTACCACTGCAGCCTCTAATAGCAGCTCATCTCCGGACCTGGCTGAAGAATGAAGCCCCCGCTGGGACAGTGGTACTGTTCCAGTAAAGCCTACTACTGCCCCGCATTTTTACTGCAAAACAGTCTGACAGAGGGGCAGCGAACCACAGCTATGTCTCCGTCTCCTGTCGTACCTCCTCATGGAGGGAGCTGAGCCAGAAACAGCAGACATCGAGGCCTCAACACTCCAGGCTTCCATCAGTGGAGCCACACAGCCTGATGCCGGGGTAAACCAAGTTGTGACCGACTGGGTCTTCCATCCTTACGAAACCCAGCAACTACCTCACATCACCCAAATGAGTCATTTTTCCCTTAAAAACTAATGAGACACGAGGATCACCTTGTGTTACTGTTATGTCCTTAACACAAGTAGTCTGTCAGTTGATGGCCTGTTGCAGGCTCTAATAAAAATACATTCTCTGTTCAGCTCTTCTTTCTATTTCTCTGAGCTCTGTCTGGGGTCATTCTGGGACCAAACTGATGTTTTCTTACATCTGTCATCACTTTGACCTCTGTCGACCTCTCTACAGGCCGCTGCTGGTTACATCAACAGCCTGAAGCAGTGAGGCTCTTTCTGGCTTTACACGAAGTTGATGCCAGCTAAATGTCTGAAATATTAAAACTGCAGCAGCAGAGATTTATTTTCATGAGAAGATCCACTTGTGAAAGCGGCAGCGCCTCACAGCAGCATTACAGTAAAGCCCTGCTGTCAGGTATGAACGTGTTATTACAAACACCTGCCATCCACAGAGAGGGACGCATCCAGAGCTGCTCTCTGGCCTTCTGAACTCACCAGTGTTCATCTCTTTCTTTTGCCTCTTCACAGTATGAATGCGTGATTACAGGAAGAAGCTGGGTGGAAACTGTTCTGCCTGTGGTGAAGTGAAATCAACCTTATGTTTCCTCTCCTCCTTTAAATTTTGACATGAAAATACATTTGTGCACAAAAACCAGTGTTTAAAAACAAAACATGCTCCTTTGTACCGGCTAAACAAATAGGATTTAGACTGGTATTCATTGAAATTTTCGGTTCAGGGAGCTGGTATTTTGTATTGTTTGTAGGCACATTACACTTCTGTGGTTGATTTTTTTTTTTTTTTTTTTTTCTTTGGCATTCGAGGTCTTTTTGCTTCTCTTCCTGGACATTTCGTGTCTCGTGTTTCTACAGCCGTTTCACATCCCTGGTGTCTTTTGCTCTGTCTCCTTAAAACCCATTCACTTAGGCAGGCATTCATCACCAGCAGTGATTAGGGTATTGGCATGATTTGTTTTCTTTGTCACTGGCTTTTGTTTGAGTTTATTTACCATTGTTTATTTGCTTGATGTTATTTATTACTATTGTTGTATTAGCTTTTTTGTAAAGCACCTTGTAACAGTGGTTTAGCAAGTGCTATATGAATAATGTTTTACTTACTTTGGGTCTGTATGTAGTAGTTTTTGCCTTTTTTCTGAGTTCTGTGACTTCTCAACAACACATATTACCCGTGACTTCACACAGAGGCACTGGGCCAGGGGCCCCTGGCCTCTTGGCCCATAGGGCTGCTCTTGTTCCAACCATGCATACAGCTATATATAGCTATAGGTTTCCATATTGTAAACATTCAATTTGATGTGAACTGGAAATCTGGTAGTTTACAACAGCAAATGTCAAATGATTTTGAGATGACATAAAGACTAGAAGATGAATGCATGAATGAATAAAGACTGT